CTCAAAATCGTTGCCTGGAACAAATGACAGGCTACGGATGGTGTTGGAAACACAGACGCAGCGCTTGGCAAGGGAATCCTGCCAGTCCAGAAGGGTACACAGTGGGGTCTCATCTTTACTGTGAGGCTCATCCTCTAGAATCTTGATGTTCCGATGGCTCTGTGCTGGGCTGATGCCAAATGGAAACTTGCTGCTCTCCTTGGTGGCCTCTGTACTCTTAGCTCCCTCTTCGGTCAATGTACTAGACCGGGTGGACAACATGTCATCCATGGTGGCTGTGATACGTTTTTCTGGAGGGCCATCAGGTGGGGGACCTTCCTGCTCTGTTGTCCCTAGCATATTCTCTGTTGCTGTGACATGCTTCCGGGGGGCTGGTGGGCAGGGTACATGAGGTCGGGTATGCAGCAACTCTGACTTGCTCTCAAAGTGGGTCTGGATATGCTCAGTGGTATCTCCCCCACCAATCCGCCAGTGCAGCAGGCCACTGTCAAACTCCTGCACTCGCCCAAGCTTATCTGAACAGTCCACCACAAATGGGTCATTCTTTTGCAGGATCTTCACTGGTAATTTGTCAAACTTACTGATCAGCTTCTCCTCACTATTCTCTGAGGCTGGCCTGTCCTTGCCTGAAAAGGCCATCTCTTCATCATTTTCAACTGCTTCCTCCTCTTCTTCCTCTTCCAATTTAGAACTTAGGAAATCATCTTCTTCCTCCCCTTCCACAGGGGTTGGACTAGAGGTTTTGCGCAATCTCCCAGGGTCTAATAATGTTCTCTGTCCTGGATCACCCACTTCATACTCCTTTAAAATTCCAAAGATCTCAATCAGACAACGTCGAAAATATTCCACAAGGAGTTCCAGCAACCCTGGGAGCTGACTGAGGTTGAAGGTCATGATGCTGTTATCATCATATAGCAGGATGTTAATGGTGTCTAATGCCCATGTGCTCTCTGCCAGCAGCCCAGACTTGAGTGACATCATTACACGCCATGCCTCCTGGGGTTCCAATATCTTTCATTGTGAGCCGCCTTCTCTGCTTCAACACAGGCTGTGTGGCTTCAACAGAGCCAGGTGGGAAGGTAATGTCTCGTCGAATCATGGGTGGTTGTACAGGGGCAGGTGCTATATGTGAGGCTGGCACTGGTGGGCCTGCCTTTTGCATTTTCATCCCAGAGTGCAGGAATGGAGATTTACTAGGAGAGGTGCGATTCTCCATTGGCCGGGGCGGGGGAGCGGGGCTGGATACCTGAGGAATGTGATTCTGCATGCTTGGTGCGGGCTGGTAGTTAGATGGAGGGGGTCTTGTCATAGGAGGTACAGGGGCAGAGGGACCATATGGGGGCTGGCGTGTGCCATGGGAAGGCCATGGACCTTCATGATTGGCTCTCTGATCTGTGTGCAGCATTTCATCTGTTCGGTTCACACCATGATAGGCAGGGCCCTGGGGGGCAGAGCCTGTGCTCTGCCTATTGGCATAATTGTAGGACATGTCATTACGCCCCTGCCACATGGTACCTTGTTGAGAAACCTCAGCTGACGTCTGTATAGGGCCACCCATCATTTGTGGTGGCATATTCTGCTGGGCATTTGAGCCAGGGGGTGCAGAGACACGGTCTCGGCCAAATTGGAATGGAAATTGGTTCTGGGGGCCGCCTGCTGGTCGGCGCTCAGTAGCAGCAGTGGCAGTGGCAGGATAGGCATTGCCATACTGGTTGTACAGACTGACCTCTTTTAGCAACATGTCCAAAGTATGAGAGACAGGGCTTTGTCATCTTTGCCTCCTAGAAGAACTCTCGCTGCACCCGCTCCATGACACACATCTGTTTATTATTTTGGCAGTTCATTCAGTGTCCTTCTCCAAACCATGGCTCAAAGACATCAATTCTTCCTCTGTGATTCTTATTCAATGTCCATCTCTCAGATGAGTAGCAGATGATTTAAAAGATCATGGCTTGAGGCAGGTGCACCTTAGTCTTCAAGCTGACATCATCGTTCTTAAGGATTTTGTAAAGGTCTCTGACACTGTGGAATTACCCAGTGCAATACATCTCCTGACTGCTGGCTCCAAGGGTGTTGATTGTTGATCCAAGCAAGATAAAATAATTGAAAGCTTCAAGAACTTGAGCCTTTGGTCTGGATTACACCTTAACATCAAGAAAACAAAGGTACACAACCATGGGCCAACAGACAACATGACAGATGTTATCAGAGCTCCCTTTAAAAATCTTCCAGAAAGTAAAATTCCAGACCCAAATGGTTTTATAGGTAAATTCTGCCAAAATTTTATAAAAGAAATAATATGAATTTATAGACTTGCTTCAGAAAATTGAAGATGAGGGATTACTTTTCAACTCAGTAAGTAAAGTTACACATTTCCTTGATCACGAAACTCGTCAAGAGATTCATCAAGGTTAATTGGCGTAACAGAATTCAGAGACAACGTTCTATATCTTACTTTACTAAGTAGTGACTGGAGGCTTATAAATTTTCCAGCGGTCATACAACTGTGGGTCTTTTGCCATCCAGAGTAAAAAGAGTCTAGAAAAAGCAAAGAATCAACTATTAGTCCAAAAGACTAATGAAACACACAGACCACAGCCTCCACTAGCCTGAGAGCAGACGAAACTACAAACTGCCAGTGATACCACCGAGCACTATGACACGGATCACAGTAGAGGGTCCTGGACAGAGTGTGTGTGTGTGTGTGGGGGGAAATGTAGACTAAAACTCAAAATAATAAAAAATGACCAAACTTACTGGTTTGATAGAACTGGTGGTACCTCGAAGAACATTACTCTTAGATATTCCTCAAACCTGGAGTTGACACTCCCCACCCCCCAGAGATCACCTTTCAGCCAAAGAACAGGAAGGCTTATTAAGTGAACAATATACCAAAAGAAAAACAAAGTCACTGTCAGCGAGTTGGTTTCAGTTCATGGCGTTACTTTATCAGGCTTCTGAAGATCATAATCTTAAGCAGAGGAGGCTGCCTACCTATCTTCACCCAGCAGAGCCACTGGTGGATTTAAAACTCTGGAGACAGTGGTCAGCAGCACAACAAATGAGGGGCTACACACCCGGAACTCCCCTCAGTGAGTCAGAACACCCATGAAAAATGTGCCACTTGTACAAGACCAGAAGGTCAACATGTGCTCAACCAATAAGTCCAGAAGACAGAAAATGGGAATGAAAATGGGTAACAAGCAACTCAGGAAATGAGAAAAGGGTTTGCCATGTCTGGGGAGACAATTTATATAATGTGTTGAATGTGAAACTAATTTAGCTCTGTGAATTCACAATAAAACATCAAAAATCACAACAAGAAGTGCCAAAGACATTGTGAGTTGCTGTCCAGTCAGTGTCAATCCAATCTTTCAGCCAAATGAAATGCCCACTCGTCCTGCACCATCCCCACCTGCCACTGTGTTGGAGCCCATTGTTACAGCCACGCTGTCAATCCATCACATGGAGACGCTTCCTCTTTTTTGCTGTCCTTCCACCCAGCATGAAGTCTTTCTCCAGATCCAGTCCCCTCCTGATAACATGCTGAAAGTATGTGAGATGTGGGCTCTCACCATCCTCCTTTCTAGGAACATCCTGGCTGTACTTCTGAGACAGATTTCTTCATCCTTCTACCAGTCTACAGTACAGTCAAGATTTGTCACTGACACCACAATTAGAAGGCATTGGTTCTTCATCAGAGTTTCTTATTCATGGTCTAATTTTCCCATGCATGGAAAGCAGTTGAAAATGCCGTGGTGCTGGTCAGGCACATCCTTGCTCTTTAGCTCTTTAAAGAGGCCCTTTCCCACTGATTTGCCCTAATGAAGTGTGTCATTTGATTTCTTGACTGATACTTTCATGAGCATTGATTGTGAATCCAAGTAAAATGATATCCTTGACAACTTCAATCTTTTCTCTCTATATCATGTCATAGATATTGTTGTTGGGGGCCATCAAGTCTAGAATGACTCATATCAAACCTGTGAACGACAGCTCTGAACCTTGTCCTATCCTGTGCCATTTTCATCACCTCTGACAGACTTGAGCTGATTTTTTAAGACATACTAGCATGTTGCAATAAACAAGAAATTATGGAATTCCAGAAAAGATAGACACATAAATCAATGGAAGAGACTAGAGAATCCAGAAAGAAACCTATAAAACTATAATCAATTGAATTTTTGTATCCAAAGAAATTAAATGGAAGAGAAGTTGTCAAATGTTTTCTCTGAAAGGGCAATTTAGAAAGAGGAAGATCCTCAACAAGCTGGACTGACACAGTAATTAACCACTACGGGCTTAAACACGTTTGAGATACTGAGCATGCTGCTGGATAGGGCAAGGTACAGATCTGTTGTTCACAGTGTGCTTCGAGTTATAGTTGACTCAATGGCAGCTAACAACTACAAACAACAGTAACAGTGTTTCATGTTTATATCTTCTTTATTCTAAACTCTTTAAAATGTGAAAGTTATTTTTAAATTATGCATCACACAAAAAACAAGTAGATAAAAATTGACTCATAATGTACCAGTCCTTGCAATGTGTGAAAAATAGTACTTTTAAAAAAGAAACAAAGAAAACAAACCTGTTCCTTATACAAAAGTCAACCCAAAACGGATTATACATCAGTATGTGGCCTAGTGGTAAGAACCTGCCCTGTTATCCCAAATGCACACAGTTCTAATTAGTCCGCTGCTCTGTGGGAGAAGGATGGGCACTCTTCTTCCGTGTCATCAACTGCCTCTGAAAACCTGCCAACCTGTGGGAAGGTCTGCTATGGGTCAGTTCTGACTCAATGACATACAACAACACAGAGCTTTACAGGAAAACATCTTTGAGTGCAGAATTCTTAGACATTACACCAAAAGCATGATCCTTTTCAGATCTCACATATCCAACAGAGGACTCTCAAAAATAATTTTTTTAATCTAAATGAGTTGAAGACTTTGATACTTGAATGAAAAATATAGTTAAAAAGATGTTCACCAGCAGTAGCTCTTAGAAAAATTAAGTTAAAACCACAAGAAAATACCATCACATACATATTAGAAGGCAGAAAAGAAACCTGAAAATACAAAATTATGTGGAACACCTGGAATTGATGGTAATACAGAGAAGCACTGCTGTTTTGGAAAAATCTGGTGGTTGTTTTTAAAATTAAGTTAAACATGTGCTTACCATATATACCCACAAATCCTATCCTTAGACATTTACTTTAGACAAATGAAAATATGTTCACACAAAAGCCTCTCGCCTAATGTTAGTACACTTTATAATAATCTTAAACTGAAAACAATGCAAACTCTTTCAAGGAGTCTGTGGGTAAACCTTGAAACTTCCATTTTAATGATAAAAATAAATTCAATAACAGGATAAATATAAAGGCATCATACTGAATAAAGAATTCAGCTTTAAAAGTTGTAGTTCCTGTATAGTTTCATTCATATGACAATGTTGAAAGGTAAAACTCTAGATGTGAATGACAGAGCTGTGATTGCCAGTGTTTACTTAAGGTTAGAGTGCCTTGACTATAAAGGGGTAGTGTAACGGAGCTTTTGGGTGTGAGGATAGGACTATTCTATATACTGATAGTTGTGATTGCTATGTGAATCATAAAAACCCATATAACTGTATACCAACAGTGCCATTGTACTCTGTGTGAATTTTCTTTTTTAAAAAACAATACATTAAAAAATACATATATTGAATGATCAACATATGAGCAAGAGCCTATGGTGATGAAAGAAGAAGTCCAGGCTGCTTTGAAGGAAATGGCAAAAAATAAGGCTCCAGGAATAGATGGTATACCAATTGACATATTTCAGTT